TGCTCTCCTGACCTCTGGGGAGCGTAAAGTCGACCGATTCAGCTCTCCGAAGCATCATCATCCCCACTCGGTGTGCTGGTGATAGGAGTTGATGGATCTGCTTATCATTAGTGACGGAGACATTGTCACATAGTTTGTGTTTCCACTCTCAGCTGGGAAAAGTGGGAAATTATGCTTTTATTTGATGCTGCCAGTTGATGCACAAAAATGGTTCACACTGTTCTTCGTGAGTGGATTGTAATATTGTGTTCAAATGTTCTACCACATGGTGAACTAATATGGTGGTTTATTTCATTTTCATCTTCACAAACTCCAGCACCTCTTCGATCATCTTCGATGTCTGCCTATCTGCGAGCGGTCGGCCTGGACTTCAGTGAAAAGGTGGTGCGACAGAGGCCCACCTCCTCCATTTCCTTCGTTGTTGCTCTCGATCGAGTAATCACTACTCCTCTTCTGACGCGGTAAGAATTGCCAATTGAGGCATATTATTATTTTTCTCATCCCATATCTAGGGCTTTGGTTATTACTCCTTCATCTCTACTTTTCTCCCTTGAGGGCCGTTATTTTCTCATTGCTCTTTATTCGTCTCATATCTAAATGCTTTCTGCCAATCATCACTATTTATGCTTGTTAGTGAAAGAAAAAGTATTTACCAATCCTCCATCCTATGTTGCAGAATCAAGGTTGTAGATAAGTGTTTATTGGAACACTTTGTGATGGAGCTGAAACTGTTGGATCATCTTTGTTTTGTAAAAAGTGTCTTCTGCCATGAGCATCCTGTCATCACTCCTCGTGTCCTCGATGCCCTCTTCGATGAGGTTTGTTATGCCAAGTCTTTTTCGGCCCTTTCAAACTTACTTGCGTTGAATGCCTGCTTCTTTTAAACCGTCTCGAAATGGTCTAGAACCGAGGTTGAAGCTAATGCAGTTGACTGCAGCACTGCTTCTTGTGACATGCGCAACGAAACTCCTAATATGCTTACGAGACACATGAAGTGTATGGTTACACCCTCCAGAAACTGTCATACAGTTAACATTTTCCTCATTTGGAGATCAAAGACGTGAGATTTAGTCAGCGTCTTAATCAAACTCACTCAGGGAGCGAGAGAGGAAAAGTGGATGAACCGAAAGAAATTCGGAATCCTTTGTTCTTAAAATAGGCACCAAGTGGAAATCGTTTTTGCTGTCAATTTTCCTTTTCTGTACTTTGTTTACAGCTTTCGAGTCCAGGAGAAGTTCGTAGTGTTTTTAATGACACTAGAAGGTTTAAAGATTTAATTCCTGCTGATCTTCTCAATATCAAGTTCCTGCGGCAGGAGATGCAAATCAACACTTCGTCGCCGTTTGACACCGGCTTTCAGCATCTTCTGTTCTACTTCAAACAGCTTCCTACCGTCCAAATGGCCGATGATGGTGATTATGGTAGTGTGACTACCTTTTTCTTAACGATTTGGGGTTTCCATTCCCTACTTCACATCTTTTTCTGCCACTTGCAGTGGACAGGGTATTTAACAACCTCGTCTTGATCTACAACGCACCCTGGCCGCTGAACATTTGCTTGCATGATCGGGTGCTAGCCAAGTACAACACCATCTTCTGTATCTTGACTCGTGTGAAATATGCCATTTGGGCGTTGGAATCTGTCTTTCATCTCCTTCGGAATCATCGTAAGTCAAGGTTGCTGTTAGATTGACCACTCAAGCACTGCCTATTGTGCCTTTAATGACTGTTGGGGAGGCAATGAAGGGGACGATTTTTGTCGCGTGACTAAAGGCGCTTAAAAATTCTTCACGATTGTAAATCCTCCCTAAGTGATTGATTTCAATAGTCCTGCAGGCGCACTTGTCTTTCGTGCGAGCTTGTAGTCCACGGAAAGTGATTACTGTGCTGCAGGTTGGGGAGAAAACCGCTGCTGCCCGAATCCTTACTTACGTGTAGACATGACCAAGCGAGCCTAAAATATGTGCTTGATTAACTCAATTGTCTCGCCTCCGCAGAGCCTCCCATCGTGGTATTGAACTGTTCTTGAACCCTTGCACCAGTTGATATCTGCTGGTTTTATCCTCTCATCGCCAGGACTTTTTATGTGCATGTCTCAATTGCCATTACCATTGTGAATAGTTTGCAGACCGGGATTTTTCGAACATGGCATATGGTTTGGATATTAGAGTTAGTAAAAGGACATACGTAGGATGCAGTTATAGGAGCTTCATCCGAAATAACACGCTCAATGTGTTTACGATGCTAGAGTTGAAGAAAATTAATTTTTCTGACTAACAACCTTTTTTTACTGGCAAGGTCGTGCGACCCCGACAACAAAGAGCGTTTACTTCCAGGCTTCGTTGTGGCGCCATGAAATGGATCGGGTAGTGCGTGATCTTGATGCCTATTTCTGTCTACATGCTGTGCAATCTAGTTGGAGGGTCTTCATCAAGCGAATTGGAGCTTTTGAACTCCTCCCCTCCCTGGATGAACACTCCCAGCCCCCAGAAGAGCTGACGACTATGAGGAGCCTTGATGAGCTGTCTCAGGCTCATGAAGAGTGTGTGGATACTATCATTCACAGGTTTGCTATTTTTCGATTTCTTAGTCTACCTTTTCTTAACAAGTTCCTAGACATGCGACAGACGGTTGTCGCTCTCTGTGCTTTTATGCTTCCTGCTGTTTGTGCTGCACTTTCTTATGGTAATAAAACTTCCCGAATCGACTCCCATGCACCAATTTATTGAAAAATATCACGTAGGCTATTGGAATCATGTGGTGGTGAAACAATGAAATGATATTTCCGAATGAAAGACTAAAGGATGATGGATGGGAGAAGGATGCACTTGCATACTTTCCCATATTCTCCAATAACTCCTCTGTTGATTGGTGTGCAAGGCAGTGGAATATACTGTGACATTTTTACTTTTGTCCTAAGGCCGAGATTCAATCACGTTGAAGCCTACCTTTTTTCTAGGTTTACGTAGTAGAACATCAAGGCTTTATTGATAACTTCGTGAAACTAGTTTCTTTCATTAAGTTATTAACTTTCTTTGAAGAAGCTTTGGTTTTTTTGGTGGTTAATGCATGTTAGTTTGGATGAGATACAAGTTATACCCTCTCCTCTAGCTGTCTCATGAACATTGCGGAAGATGGCCCAGGCATCCAAGCTTCTTTAGCAGGTCTTCTCGATTCTGTGCATCGATTCCGAAGGACGCTGCTGCTCACACAAGGTCAGGAGTATGCTGCATCTAATCAACTGAATGCAGTTGTCGACCAATTTCGGTCACACTCTCACTCCCTCTAT